TTCTCGTGCGTGAATTGTTCTGCTATCGGCGTTGGTTTCCACACTGTCGGAGTAGTTGATAACTTTAGTAGAGGCTTCGAGGTCGTAGATCGAGCCTCCTTCTTGGTAGGGTAGAATTGTTGTTGTTGTAGTGCCGACTAGTCGGGTACTGCTATCTTCAGGAATGGAACCTGGCCAGTGGATGATGCAATCTTGAAATGTTATAGTTAGTACGAGACCTTCCTGAGCTCCTTTCAGTGGCATTCTAAGCACAGGATCAAGGGATCCTTCGGGCCGTGTCTGATAAGATGTCGCCATGTTGTGAAGTCCGAACGAAAAAGGACCCAATTTCTTGAAAAGACTCTGAGAGTACTCCGAGTTGTATTCTTGATAGGCCAAGGCTAAGTTCTTAAGCTCCATCAGAAAAGAACTCGGTTTTTTGGAAGAACTCGGGTAAGACTCTATTTCGGGTGCGGAACCTGAGTTTGAGTCGGATGCGCAAAGTCACGAAATCTGAATTGGATCGGACGTCGTGAGCTGCGCGAATCTTCCAACGAGTTGATCTATCGTAGTCGCCGAAATAGAATGGTCTTCATGGTGATCCGAATCTTTGAGGAGACAGCTTTGGAGCTTGCCATTGTCACCTGCCTCGCAGATCCATGAACCGAAGATGAAGGTTGATCCCGTCGAGAAGATCATGTTGTCGAGGTCCGTCGAGCTCTCGGATGCAAATTCGCCGAAAGCCCCTACCTGGCGCGCCAGCTGTCGATGTTTGACCACCGATAGCTTGCCATGGGGGTACCCGGGGCAGTTTGTTCGGGCTTTAGCGTATGCAGAACTCGACGGTTAACGTAAGAGACAGTCGATTTATCCTGGTTCGGACCCTCGATCGTTGATCGAGTAATAACCCTACGTCCAGTCGGTGTTAGCCTTTGCGTTGGATTGATTGTGAAGTATTGTGTCGTTCAAGTCCCTTCTCTAGGAACCCTGCCCTCCTTTATATAGTCAGGAGGTCAGAATCTTAGTCGGTTTACAGTGAGAGTTCCTAGTAGGATTACAGAATAATACTACTACTAAGATTACATGCGGAGAATCTTAGTTAGACTAGATCTTCTCCCTTCCTTGCGGGGTATCTCGTGGGTCCCGCACCGACAGCATGTAGGTAGGATCGCTATCAAAATTAGCAAAGTCCACATCAACACCAGCATGTTCACGTATGAAATTATGTAGGACCATGGTAACAGCAACAATCTTCTTTTGTGACCATTGAATAACCGGGCATCTTGTAAAGGATTTGCCATTTCATTTTTAATACTCTAAATGAGCGCTCAATAACATTACGAACATATGAGTGTACATGGTTGAACTTCTCTTTTGGAGTATTTGGTTTCATACCTCGATGTCACTCGGGTAAGTGGTATCTTTCACCCTTGTATGGAGCTAGGTACCCCGGACGATTAGGATAGCCCGCATCTACAATATAGTACTTGCCTACACATATGTAAAACAAGATAAGTTTGTGCATACAAATATGAACAAGAACATAGGAAAAATATTTACCTTGAGGAGGATGTGGGAAGACATCTACATCTGCTTCCAATGCATGGTACAATACACTTGTGTCATGCAAGGAACCCGGTTGACCCACAGCCACATAGGTGAAGCGAATATCAAAATCACAAACGGCAAGCACATTTTGAGTTGCAATAGCAGTCTTACCAATATATCTCACTTATTCTTCAGGTGATAAAGACACATGAATATGGGTTCCATCAAGTGCACCAGTGCAATCCTTAAAGTGTGGATATGCTCTCTTGTCATTCCTAATCCTCTTGTGCACATTGCGAAAATTAGGATATGTTGGTCTCAAGAAATGTTGTGCCATGGCAACCACACAATCTAGAACTTCATAAAATTTTCTACTAATGGTTTCACCTGAGTGTTTGAACTTATTTTGTCCTCTTCTATTTGACTCACAACTGCCACAAGTGAATAGGAAAATTGCCAGCATTTCATATGTATTCATGTGTTTCGATGGTTTTAATCCGTACCTCTCGACCAACACATCATGAAGATCATGAAAAATAACCTCATTCATCCGAAGCATTCGATGACACTCTCCTAGAGCGTTTATCGTCTCCAGCAGCCATCCCATTCCACTTTGTTGTGAAAACATAAACATCAGCGGTGCCTTGTCCATATACAAGTCATGATAACTTCGTGCTAGTTTAGCACTGGTCTCAACCATTTAAAAAAATCCCCATCATCACTAGAGTCATCAGACTCACTTGAAGACATCTGTGAACATTGACATAAACGAAATGTAAGATACAACTGCCATACATAAATGAAGTGCAAGAAAATAAAATGTGGCATACATAAATGACATCACTCTCACTGCCATTTCTACTTTTCATATTTGTCATTGTATTTCCTCCTAAGCCAATTGAACCTAATCTCATTAGTAGGCGAGGTCATGAACATCTCCCTTTGCTCCTTCTTCACAAATAGTTCAGACGCAATGTAATTTTCATTGCTATCATAGCCGGCCCCACAAGCAATCACAACCTCCATCACTTCATCAATAGAATATTTTCCATGTCTCTTCGAAACATATTCAGTGGTTGAACTTGCCATACTTGTTAATGCTTCTTGAATTAGGAGTGCATTACCATACTTCGCCTTCTTGCCACTTCTTTTACCAGGCCTTGCCAATCTCTTGCCACTCGCAGGTGGAGGAGAAATACCATTCTCCTCCTCTTGTGTTTCAGCAACAAAATCATCATCTTGTGACTCATCTTGTGTGTCATCAACATTTTCTATTGCTTCAACATTCACAATATGAGGAGACCAATGATCAATACCAACAGTAGTGATGTCAGCAAAACACTTGGCTAATTCATCTTCATTCTCAAGGCCCTTCTTTTAAAACTTTTCACAACCTGAAATGTCCTGAAATAAGCAAAACAACACATATTTTTGAACCAACTTACAGCTCTAGCTTTTTTCCACCATTTATCATCCATAGCAATAGTCTTGTTTATAGGGTCCCAACTAGTCCCTGTTTGCCTTAGCATTAGTTTCTTCCATGCCTTGAAATCTTCCTTCAACTTGTCCCATTTGTTCTTGATCTGACTCTTGGTAGCCACAATTCCAGTCCTATCTTTGAACCCTTTCTCAACCTCAGCATAACCAAGTGCATTCAAGTGTGTGTTTGGCTGATTTCCTTTTCCAACTTGTTCGGCAAACAACATACAGATCACTCGAGTGTTCTCCGAGTTCCAATCAATTCCAGGCATCTATCCAACTCACAAATTTCATATTAGAAGCCATTAATCTACTTCACTGAAATGGTACTGTCCATATTTGTAGTACAGACAACAAATTTTGGATTGTAAAATATCTACTGTGAATCTAGGATTGCAGCATAGCACACAGTTCACTCCCACAAATCCAGCCTCTAATCATACCGTGAATCAATTTTTGACTCAAAACTGAAAAAATACCTTGTTCTGCGGCCGGCGGGGGATGTCGGTGCTGGTGATGGGCGCTTCTTGGGGCGGCCTCCACTGGGAGCGGCAGATCCGCTCATCCCCCGTGTCGAGGAGGCCGTCGGGGTCCACGGCCGGGGCAGGGATGTCGGTGCTGGTGATGGGCGCGGCCGGCTTCGTCGGCACGCACTGCTCGCTCGCGCTCGGATTGACGGCGGCGGGGCTTGGATTGACGGCGGCTGGAAGGGGCTCCGGCGTCCGACAGCGTGGGTGGACGGCGGCCACCTATGTGGGTGGCGGCGGCCGAAACCCTAGCGGCGTCCGTGCTCCGGAGAGGAAGCGAGTAGTCGGCGTTGGAGGAAACAGGCGCGGGACGGAGAAAAACAGGCACGGGGGGAGTCTCGGACGAAAAGAACGAATCGTTTTTTTGTGTAACCAGTGGCATTGGTGGGGTAATTACCCACCAACTCTACGAGGAGGTTCAAAAGAGATGGTTCTGGAGTTGCAAAATAGATGCTCCAAAAATCCACCCCATTTGCACTACAGCTCCATGGAGCTGGCGGCTCCAAAGGAGTTTTGGAGCTGGGGTGTTTGGCTGGAATTTTTGCTAGAGTTCTGGAGTGGAGCCATGCCAAACAGGCCCATAGATATGCAGTGATCAGTGATGTCATAGAAAATTGTGATGAATAATGGGTCGTCGGGAAGAACTTGGGCCAAGGGAGCGGGCTGCTGCCTGTTGAAGCCACCACTGAAGCTGGGCGACGCGTCGACGCCGTGGTGTTGCAACCGTCCACCTACAGGTTGGCCGCATCGACTCGAGGAGCCTCGCGACGCTGATGTCGGTGAGCACCCTGTCCCTGGAGCTTGACGTCATCGACTAGGCCGAACCCGCAGACTGGGAGTACGTGGGGACTGGGGAGCAAGGCGGCGTCTCGCAGCATGGTCGCGCAGTGGAACCGGATCGGCTGCAGCGCATCGAGCGGCGAGCGCACCCACGCTTGGCCACGTCAGGAAGAATGCTCGAAATGTCGGCAGCGACAGACACCTGTGTTGCCGCCTCCCCCTCGCCGTCGGTGCCGTCAGCGGGGCGCGATCTCTGGTCATGGGCGTCCTTGCACGGCGAAGTGGACGGGCTGGGCTGGGTCGTGCAATCAAAGCTCACAACAAAGGATAAGGGAGGAGCATCTCGGTCTTTTTCCATGGCCTCAACACCCTATCAGGCTGTCGTGTTTCACCACATCAGCGAAATTGACAAAAATTGAACAAAGTTTCTTTCACCGGTGACAAAAATGTAGGTGCCATTCTAATATTGGTTTTTGTAGAGGATAGAAAAAAGTTAAATATCCCTAGACTAGACGCCCTAGAGGCCTAGACTAGACGAGTAGACGGACATGATCCGTTGGCGTCAATGGTGAAGCAGTCGCGCCGTCGTTGTCCTCTCCTTCCTCCGCTCCCTCTCCCTTTCCCTCGCCTCATCCGCTTCATTCTCTCCCATCCCCATCCTGTGCGACTGCGGATGGGGGAGAGGGGATGCCAGATCCGGCGCTCGGCGCCCATGGAGAATATATCAGTAAACTTAAGCGTGGTCGTTCCCGTGTCACCCCGCGCAGCACTTGTCAAACCCTAACCTCCTCGAGCAAGGTCGAAGCTGCATCAATGTCCGGCAAGTGCGAGATCCGATTCGATGCTGATCCCATCCAAGGCGCATCAGGCGGTCTAGGACAAGTCACTCAAGTCTCCAATTTCGAGAAGATGACGCACACAGGTTCTTCTTCCCCACCGCCGCTGGATCTTTTAAATTGCCCTGGTAACTAATGATTCGTTATTTGAGCATCTTTTCCTTTGGTTTGTTTAATTTCCCTCTACCGTTCACCACGTTAACTGTTTTTTTTTTCCTTCAAATGTCCTCTCGTGGCTTCCCGATGGCGAAATCAGATGAATTCAAATCACTAGAAAGGGACAGACTACTTCCCTGTGACTTAAAAACCACTAGTCCAAGTGCCTTGCAGCAGTACGATGCCTACCTTCACTGGTTTTACTACTCTTATAGAGCTCCTGCTCCTGTTGCACCGTACGACGCCTACCTTCACTGGTTTTACTACTCTCATAGAGCTCCTGCTCCTGTTGCATCGCTTGCTGATGCTGCCTCCATGGTAACCCGCTCAATTCTTTGCTTATCTCTACGAAATCATTACAGAGTTGCTGTGTTGGGTCACGAAACTCTATCCGAAATTGTATTTCTTTTAAAGAAACTATGCTAAAAATGTAAGTCATTGGATTTGTCCAATACAAATGTACCGATGACTCTAATACAAAAATCATACCAACTGTCTAAGGGTTAACAGACATGATTTTAACTGTTAACGTACTTTTATGGACACCTGATGCAACCGTGTGATCCATTTTGTGCCTCTTCGTGAATAAATAGGAACCAAATAATTATAATTAGACTGTCATGATAAAAGCCCTATTCTGGGTACAATCAAATCTTCCAATAATTATAATTAGACTGTAATGAGAAAAGACATATTCTGGGTACAGCCAAATCTTCCAATGCGGAATACTCTCTGTACAGAAACCTCCAATCCAAATGGGGCTTCACTATGAAACAATTATTTGGGTATTTTCACTTTTTTAAGCGTTTGAACCACCCAGCCCTGTTGCTTCATTCATTGGCCTGACTTCTGTGACGCTAACTGCAGTGCCCATGGGAGGCGGTTTTTGTAATTGCTCCGTAGCTCCTTCCTTTATATGCACACCAGGATTCACTTAAATTACACCATTTATCTTTGAAGTACTTATTGGGAATGATATGCATAAGTAATGATGGTTTCTTTCTTTGAAAGTGTTTGGATAAGGAGAACAGCATGACGTCCTTGTGGGTCTCTGTAAACGCCTGTTGTAATTGGCATGGTTGCACAGCGAGTAAATTCATTGTTGGCTATATGCATATTGCGATTAAAGAAAAAGGTGAAATAGAACATCCATTTGGCATCGATGCTGCTAAGGTACATCTCAATCTCCTGGCTGTTTAGTTTGACCGGTTGATTACCATATTGATTCTCTTAATGATTGAAAGAGAGGCTCACTAGTTTCTTGTATCGATTATTTGCAAAAAAAAAATGATGGATGGTTTCAAGTGTATTGCTAAGGAGGCTGAGTTGATTTCTGAATGGCTGAGGCGTGGGCGCCGTATTTTTACCAATGATGAGTACACTGCTTTGTGCCATGACATCCGGGTTGTTGCTGCTCAACTTTTTATTTCCCGTTGGAAGTGGTCTGTTCATATTGCTGCTGTCCTTCTGGTACGTGCATGCCTGCCTTCACCTAACCACATTCCGGTACACTTTTCTGAAGTTTATGTTACATGACTTTGATCAATTTATTTGTGCCATCAGGGTATCAGAAAGGAGGCTGAGTGGTTGATTGAGAACTCGAAGTGTAATTCTGATGAATCCATTAATACCTCCATGAAGATTCGACAATTCACCTTGCGTTTTGTGCGAAAAAAGCATGGTGAGCTTGAACCATATAAAAATGAGAGCAGTGAAAGTGAAATGACCTCGGAGCAACGATGATGTCGCTGAAAGCGAAGATACAACTACATGGTACGGTGCATGTTCTGAAAAATATGCTCTTGATTTTTACTCAATGGAGATATCAATCTCATGCTACAGTTGACTCACATGTATGGTTTTGGTTGCTTGCCAGGGGGATTGCTATGATGAAGACTACTTGAAATTTTATCGTTAAACGCATGCTGAGGTTTTGGTTTCTTGCCAGGGGATTGCTATGATGAAGACTACTTGAAACTTTATCGTTAAACGCATGCTGAGACCAAATATATCAGCTGTTTTATTTTGATGAATTTTTCTAGGACAAACTATCTCTGATCTTTCTTATGCTGCTGCATCGGTCTACAGTCGTTCACTATGCAATGAATTTCCATTTTCTTTCAGCACAGTTATGTCTGATCTTAATATTGAACCTTTTTGTTGGAAGTGGCATGGCTGCGTCAACTGCTATTGAGGGCCACTAGTATGTACCATATCAGTGGCAGGTTGGGAACCATATTTTTCTAGGGTTAATTCGATCCGTGTCATTGCAAATGTGCCTATTCAGATAAATGCAATTACATTTCATCTATTTGTGGTCATGTCACTCAAATTCTACAAAATCGAAAGGGCCTTTTTTGTGCGGGGGACATCCCCAAAGTGTGATCTCGTGCACAACACACCGGACTCATTGATTTTATGGCCAGCACACTGTAAAAACACAACTTGGTCTACCACACATTCAACCTATCTACTATACCTAAATAGGAGAACCCCACTACATGATTTTCCCGCGCTTTCGCGAAGCCATGTCATCTAAAGGACCCACAACCACAAGTTACTGCTTGGTTACAGCTGAAGCGTCCCTTCCCATGCACTGATCAATCTACGGAATGTAAGGGGCTGACCAAAGTCACTATAGTTTCAGCCATGCAAAAATACTTTCGAATAACTTTTCTTGAAACGGATCAGCAGAGAGAGAACAGAGCAGAAACGCGTTGATGGTGACGTATCAAGTGGATGAGCAACTCAGGTGCCAGTAAATTAAACAATCAATTTGACCCTACGGCTTCCAATCCAACATCGAGTTCCATCTTCTAATCTGGTGACAACACTGATCGAGTCCTGGACTTCCGATCCAATATATAAGTGACGTCCATCAGTGAGCACTGTCATGGACCGCAGCGACACACACAGGATCTCCAAATCCTTTCCTCCGGCTCCTCCATGGGAAGCAGCAGGTGCTTTTTCTTGGCTTGGGGAACGTGATCAATCGGTGCTGCCGCCGGTCGTCGATGATCGCTTATATTGGATGCCGTCGAGTCGATGTTGCCGGTGGTGACGCGTCAAAGCCGCTACCGCTAGGAATATCATGGTAAGTATTCGTGTTACCTCTCATGCTTTCTAATTACTTCATTTCATTACGCAATGAGAGAACACTGGTGCATGGTGTGTTTTCCCCCACCACATGCAGGAGCAGCAGGACATCGTCAACAATGCACGTAACGCTCTCACTACTACTACATACATTATATAAAATTAGAAATATATTTGGTTATTACAATAAGAAATCTCATTATTACTATGATCCAACGATGTATCTTCATGACTATGACTTATCCTTTCTAGATGGATTTTGTTTATTTTCATACATACAAAACCATTATTATATTTTTCTTATATATACTCGCTTTGAAATTAGTTACACCATAATTGTTGAGACTTCCGCACCAATCCAGAACAATTATCTACAGATCTCTCTATAAAATCCCCACGGCAACGCGCGGGGTATCATCTAGTTAAAATATAAAATTGAGCCTAGGAGAGGAAAGAGAGGGTTTTAGAATGACACTAATGCACTTTATACTTTACTACTCCGTACTAGTTGATCCGCTGCCGTGTTATCGCGCAACACGAATTGCTTGGAATTGGGTCGTTCCTCTCACCAGGACACCAGGTGTGTTTGTAATCAGAGTCCGCTAGTAAGTTTCTCCATCGAGTTGATGCCTTCATGATGATCTCGCGCGCGCGCGGTGGTGCACCGAACCTCTGAAACGCGTGTGCTTTGCGGCTGCATGCTCTCGGATCTCCACATTTCCCACTCATGTATGTAGTACATTACTAGTATCAGTATTGGACTGTGTTCTTAATGATTGGCCTAATAATAAGATGAGTTGTGGGGACTGGGCAGCAGGACACGTAGGCAACCAGGCATGCAAACCGGACCAACCCGCAAGGCACAAGCTGAATACTTCTTGTAACCTCAGAAACAGGCGGTTTCTTAAATGATCGATCACCACCAATGCACTTTTCAGACAAAGTAATATTTACTATCCTATATTAATAAACATGGATGTTACAGATCAAAATTGCAAGTCCCAGGTGGATCGTACGTGCAGGAGCATTATAATCCAAAAAAACGAAGCACGAGGTTCACGAGTCCACAGTGTGGCTATTGACGTATATAAGCAATAATAAAATGATCCGCTGCTGTGTTATCGCAACACGATCGAGTTGCTTGGAGCTGGGTCGTCCGTCCCTCTCAACCAGGTGTGCTTGTAATCAGAACCACAGCTGGGACTTGTGGACTGAAAATCAGCAAACACTACTGGAGGCCGCGGCTTTGCCTAGTGTTTTTACACTCGGCAAGGAGCCTTTGCACTCGACAAAGGCTTTGCCGAGTGTAAGCACACGGCAAAAAAGTCCGCTCGCAAAATTTTTTCTCGACAAAGGTCTCTTTGCCGAATGCTTTTATCGGGGCATTCGGCAAAAAAAAATTGTTTGAGTGCTTGGGGCGGCACTTTTCGGCAAAAATATTTTCGCCGTTCTTGGCGTCGGCCGTTAAGGTTATTTTGCCGAGTGCCCGACCCAACACTCGACAAAAAAAAAATTATTTTTTTAAAATTACTTTTGCCGAAAGTGCTAACCTGTGCACTCGGCAAAGTTTTTTTTATTTTTTTTAAAAAATTACTTTGTCGAGTGCCCCAGCCCAAGCACTCGGCAAAGTTTTGTTTCATTTTTTTTAAAAAAGTACTTTGCCGAGTGCCCCTGACCAGACACTCGGCAAAGTTTTGTTTTATTTAAAAAAAAAATACTTTGCCGAGTGCCCCTGTCCAGGCACTCGGTAAAGTTTTTTTTTATTTTTTTTTAAATAATTTCTTTGCCGAGTGCCCCTATTTAGACACTCGGCAAAGAATTTCTGATTTTTTTTTAAAAAAAAACTTTGCCGAATGCCGCGGCGAGGCACTCGGCAAAGAATTTTTTTTTTTTGAAAAATCTTTGCCGAGTGCCTTGCCCATGGCACTCGGCAAAGACCGCGAGAATTGCAATTTTTTTTACATTCCATATATATATATATATATATATATATACATCAATCATCACATCTATATCACCAACATGCATTATATATCACAAGCACACGCATATTTAATAAATTCATCGAAAATCCATCACAAATGCACCAAAGTTCAACATCACAAGTTTATTATTACAAGTTCAACATCACAAAGTTCAACATCCCTACTGCGGCGACGGAGACTGCAGGTGTGGCCCCCCGAACTGTGGTGAAGGACCGGACTGCGGCGAAGGGTTGACGCGGTCAGCCGCCGGTGACACGGTAGCGGGATTGTTTGAACCCGCCGACGGAGGCTGCACAAAAGAGAAGAGATTGCATGTGTTAGACTAAAAGCAGGGGATTGGTTACATCACAAGATAGCAGAAACAAGTTTTTTTTTTGAGGATAAGAGCATAGTATAACACAATTGAAGAAAAACATAAAGCTCGGACAACAACATTTTTTCCAGTTAGCAGTCAAGTGCAGGAAATAAGATTGGATTGTAGACTAGGAAAAGTAGGTCATCATTGCATATGCCAAGTGCCTCAGTTTACTAAGAATAACATAAAGGACAATATTTATGTAATGGTTTGTGTCACTCCATATGCCAATTGCATCAATTCAATAAACTTGGAATAGCAATATCATAAAAGACCGAGTATTAGCCATAACATATGTTGAGGCCTCACTTCAAATGCAGATCAGATGAGAATGAAACGATGATAAAAAAGTAATAATCATGGCTGTTCTCATATACCATATTTGAGAAGAAAAAAAAAAGACACTTGTTTGCAGCATCATTGGCACCAAAATATAGTCAGCAAAAAAATACAAAATAACAATGGCATGGAAATATGCTCAGGTTTATTGGATGCACCTCGTAGGCACTATCATATGGTAAAATTGAAATGGCTACTTCATCAACAATAGCATATGCTGGGGATAAAATAAATCAATCAGCAGCATAGGCATCGTACCTCGCAGGCATTGGTATATGGTAAAATTGGAATGGCTACATCATCTGCAATGACATATGCTCAAGATAAAAAAAAATAAATCAGCAGCATTGGCTTATGGTTATATATGTTGAGAAGATCACAGCAGTAGCACAACGCATACAAACATGCTCAGATTGTATTGGCAGAACATGAGCTTCTTGAGTAAGGCAAATCAACCCATACACACAGAAAACGAAATCAAGGGGCAAAGGTTAAAGGGGAATTTTTTTGGTGACAGTACAAACACCAAGCAAGTTCAGGTAGGAAGAAATCGAGTGGAGCATAGAATCTGCAAAGGTTAAAGGGGAATTTTTTAGGTGACCGTACAGTATATATGAGTTTCTAAGTAAAAACCTATAGTCTTCAGTTGCCAAGTTGTTAATCAGAATTCTGAGAACTGATCACAGGAAGGAATTGTAGCAGCTGCTGATGCTTATTAGAGGGGAATAATACAACATCCTGATACTACTGCTACCAATAGACAGAAAAATAATCTGGCAAGAAAATGTCAAAACTGAAAACTAATTGTGATGAGCAATAGATTAGTGGCTGAACATGGAGTACTTAGTTTCATTTTTGCAGTGGGGAGTCAAGTATGATGCAGCAACTAAACAAGTATGATGCAGCAACTAAACAAGTAACTAAACAAGAGCAGGGGTGTGTTCTCTGATTATATCAAGATGAGATAACATTATTTTTTATTAAAAAAGCAGCAGTTTACTTAATGCCTAAACTGCATTGATCAACAAATATCTAAAACTTGTACCTACTACAGTTGCAACTACATAATCACATAGATCAAACCAAAGATCCTTATCTGTACTGAGTCAGATCAGTTCAAGTTTATTTAGTAAGAGGTAAACATGAGAGGAATATATTTTCTGAGATAGAGCTCACATTTGTTAATAAACTTTGGAGAAAGTAATATGTTTTCTTTATGACAAACACTCAATATGAAGTTCTTTTCAAACACAAACACTCAATATGAAGTTCCAGTACAATGATTATTATCCAATAGAACTCATAATAAAAATGAGCTGTGCCGCTGCACTAGTTACTGAAACTCCTATTCAGACAAGCACGAGTTGCAACATCTAGCGCTGAGAAATGTTGAATAAATGGTAGCAGCCACACCTGAGCAACATCTAACCTTGCTTTTTGCATTGCTTTCATCGCTGCAGCTCCAGTTCTCAATGCATCAGCAGTCTCTGTTGTAGCTTTAGCTGCTTCTAACATGAGCATCTCTATAAAAAATGGGTTATACAGCTAACACACATAATAGACCTTACTATGCACAGGAAAGTAGAAGCCGTGAGTCGACAGTTCAGCACCAGCGTCTCGCAGAGTCAGCAGCCAACGAGCCCCTCCCTGTGCAGCACCAGCAGCTGGAACATGCTCATCTTCGTCCTACGGCGACCAGCACATCCCACAGCACCGGCAGCGGCTGCACGTGACTACATGAGTTAAAATTAGCCTCTGATAATATGCAAATCTTATGCATAGATGGCAATTTAATCCAAATTAACCTGAGATAAGCACACAAAAAAGAAGATCAGTTTTCCAACAGAGAAACAAAAGCCAAAAACCAAGGGTAAATCCCCAATTTCTCTCCAGAAACCCTAATCCTAATGACAAGATTAGAAAATCTCACCAACGAAGGGCTCCGCTCGTCCCGGCGGCCATGAGCTCAGGCCAGCTGCGCCGCGAGGGCTCAGGACGTCGCACCTCCGCCTTCTTCCGCGCGGCCGCGGCATCAGAAAGGGGGCCATGCGTGGGGCAGCTGAGGGCACCAGCAGATGCTGCGCCGCGTGCGCTTGAGGGTAGCGCACTGCGCACGCGCGCTTGAGAGGCCGTTCTTGGAGGCAGCGACGGTGGTGGCGCCGTTCTTGGAGGCGGGTGACCGACCTGGAGGCGACGACGGGCGCGGTCGCGGGCGAGGCCGGCGGAGGGCGCGGGTGCTTGGGCGGGGCTCGCCGGCGGCGGCGATTCGCCGGCGAGGGCGCGGCGGTGGCTGGGGTGGGCGCGGGGGAGCGGGCGTGGCTGGGGGCGTGAGGGTTGGGCCGCGCGGGGTTGGGGTGGGCTTTTAGGGCAATTTTTTTTTAAATCAACTTTGCCGAGAGCTCCTGGGCTGAAGACTCGGCAAAAAATTTTATTTTTTAAAACTTATTTTGCGAAAGTCCAAATCAAATACTCGGCAAATTTTTTAAACATATTTTTACCGAGTGTAAGCCTTGGGCACTTTCGGCAAATTTTTTTAATTTTTAAAACTTATTTTGTTGAAAGTGCCAGTGCCCAGCACTCTAAGAGCAAATTTTTTTTGAAAATTAACTTTGCTTAGGTGCCCTCGAGTTAAGACTTTCGGCAAAGCCCATTTTTGAGTGCCCCCATGGCACTTCTCGACAAACTTTTTTTTGATTTTGGGCCCAAATTATTTTACGGGGCCTTGTGATGATTTCAAACTTTATTTTAAAATTTGGAGTAATTTTGACTTTTTTTTATATATCAATAGTTTATTTCGCTATGCGTCAATTTTTCGGGATATTTTAAATTTGAACTGCAGGTGCATGGAATAATAGACTTTGGCCATCCAAAAATTGATACTCATGATATTTAGAGTATGTTTAGGCCGTATCCAGGAACTCATATGAAATCTCGAGCATCTCGTTGACGTAACATGTCGAGGTACTTACTGGAAATATGATTTTAAATTATATAAAATGCAAACGAAGTCTCACGAAACTTGTCGAGACGTCGTGTTATCGCATGTGGAGGCTGTGGTAAAAAATTAAGAAGGTTTCGAGCAAGTTGTGACGTCGGATGCCAAAAACCCAGACATCTCTACATGTGAAACGAAGTGATCACATGTGGAGATGTCTAGGTTTTTGGCATCCGACGTCACTACTTGCTCGAAATCTTATCAATTTTTTACCACAGCCTCCACATGCGATAACACGACGCCTCCACAAGTTTTGTTTCATGGGTCTTGGTCTCTTGGATGCCCAGTCCTGCCTAGACCATCTACTTTGGGCCTAACATGAACTTTGAACTTTTTTTTTTAGAATATGAACTTTGAACTTGTAGCATATTTATGTCTTTGTTTCATGGTCCAACAGCAACATTCTCAATGGTTAGTACTACTATAGTTTTTTTTATGGTCGAGAGCTTGCTTAAAAAAATCAGGGTTGAAATCCGGTTACCCTATTGGTCATTTAGCTTGGCTTTCGCATGGATTGGAATCCTCAGGTTTTGTTTCAGTGAATTTATCAAATCTAAATTTAATTTGCACAGAACGAAAAATAACTGCTAAAGGAAAGACACACACATATAGAGGCTCACATGTATTCACTAATATAAAAACAAAGGCACTCATAAGAGATTGAACCGGTAGATTTTGCAATTAACAGAATTAGTTTAAAGAACAGTTAGCAAATAATATAATGTGAACACCAGTATCGAATCAACAACTCTAACCTAGGTCGTTTTTACCAGAAGGAACCTAACCTCAGCTTGCAAAATTTGATCACATTTGAATGGAGAACAAACAGATTTGAATTACCTCTTCCAATACAGGCATTCCAGAAGTTGAGACTTCAAACTGATGGGAGGACAACATTGAAGATTTCAATTTTCTTCTCCAAATGAAGCCGATGATTGTGGTGTCTCCAGCAGAACTCCTCTACGTCGGGGACTTGACCGCCCGAATCTGTCACAGTGCCAATCCTCTCTTTCACGTTAGCGTGACACTGAAACGGTCACACTGGCATCACCCTCAACATCAACAGCAGCACCAACCAATCACGACAGAATGATTTTTTTTTTTGGACCAGCGAGAAAGAGGCACAGATTCACCGAGGCACCAAGGGACCGGAGACCTCACTTCACCAGGTCCAGATCCGTGTGTGCACGTTCGTCCTCCTGGTAGGTGGTAAGAACCAAGGAAAATTCATGGACTCGGGCCAATCTGTTGCTATTGCTATTGCTAGTCCAAGCGCAATTACGAAAAGCGACCAGGCTCCACGGGAACTAGTCGTCCATGATAGCGACCGGAGTGGGAGAGAACAGGAGAATTCCACGCAAAAAACGAAAAATATCACGGCCCCCTTTCCCCACTCCCACAGCTTGTTCGTTTAGCTGTACCTTATCGTAAATGATCGTAAATTTTCAATCAGAACAATATTTTTTTTTCATACAAACCAGCCAACAATACTTTTTTCACAGACCAGCAGCCAAACAAACCCGTCACCCGAACAGCCTGCCCCAGTCCCCACGCAAGTCAAGTTCAAGCCCGGCTTTTGTCAAAAAAAAAAATGTTCAAGCCCGTCCGGGCAAGGATCACGACGAAGGACGAACGAAAACGGGCAGCGGCCGCCCACGCTTTTGACGATTCCGCCGCTCAGGACAGCAGCCGAACACAGGTGAGGTGAGGTGACTAGCGCGGCAGCCCGGCGCATATATCAATCTCCACCAACCCACATCGATTTGCAACTTGCATAGCCACCACCACCAACCCGGCCCCGCCCCGGTGCGCGCGTGCCGCGCCTATCCACAGCGAAAGCCACGATGCGGCCGCCGCCGCCAGCGCTGAGGCTGAGCGCGCTGCTGCTGTTCTTCCTCTGCCTGTGCGCGTTCCCCGCCCCGGCGCGGTCGCAGAACACGACCACGGCCACGCCCGCGCCGGCGTCCGTCGAGGGGTTCAACTGCTCCGCCAACCGCACGTACCCGTGCCAGGCGTACGCGCTCTACCGCGCCGGCTTCGGGGGCGTGCCGCTCGACCTCGCGGCCATCGGCGACCTCTTCGCCGTCAGCCGCTTCATGGTCGCGCACGCCAACAACCTCTCCACCGCCGCCGCGCCGGCCAACGGGCAGCCGCTGCTCGTGCCGCTCCAGTGCGGCTGCCCCTCGGGGTCCCCCAACTCCTACGCGCCGATGCAGTACCAGATCGCCTCGGGGGACACCTACTGGATCATCTCCACCACCAAGCTGCAGAACCTCACGCAGTACCAGGCCGTGGAGCGCGTGAACCCCACGCTGGTGCCCACCAACCTCGACGTCGGCACCATGGTCACGTTCCCCATCTTCTGCCAGTGCCCGGCCAAAGCCGACAACAACGCCACCGCGCTTGTCACCTACGTCATGCAGCCCGGGGACACCTACGCGTCCATTGCCGCCGCCTTCTCCGTCGACGCCCAGTCGCTCGTCTCCCTCAACGGGCCCGAGCCGAGGACGCAGCAGTTCGCCGAGATACTGGTGCCGCTCCGCCGACAGGTGCCGAATTGGCTGCCCCCAATCGTGCTCCGGAACAACGCCTCCGCGACGCCAGCGTCCCCGCCGCCCTCGGCTTCTCCCAACTCCAACGCGACCGTGGTGAGCAACGACCGGAACGGGGTGATCACCGGCCTTGCCGTCGGGCTGGGCGTCGTCGGCGCGCTCTGGCTGCTGCAGATGCTGCTGCTGGTCTGCTTGTGCAGACGGCTCAAGGCGAAGGGACGACGAGGTGACGCGGTGGCGAGCGGCGACCGCGTCGAGGGCGGCAGGTTCGCTAAGACCTCGTCCGCCTCCGGCGGCGGCGGCGGCGGGGAGAGGTTCCTGGTCAGCGACATATCTGAGTGGCTGGACAAGTACAGGGTGTTCAAGGTGGAGGAGCTGGAGCGCGGCACCGGGGGATTCGACGACGCGCACCTCGTCAACGGCAGCGTGTACAAGGCCAACATCGACGGCGTGGTGTTCGCCGTGAAGAAGATGAAGTGGGACGCCTGCGAGGAGCTCAAGATCCTGCAAAAGGTACGTCCCCCTGTTTCTTCCCCAAGAGAATTGCTCGCTTCAGTGGCAGTGCTGTCACAACTCATACTAAAAAAAATGCTTTGAATTAATTTTGTTCTCATCACTAACCAAGAACGGCTAATCGCTAAGGCTTGCAGGCCTATTGATTATTGATCTGATGACCATTACAATTTGTGCATTTCTAATTGGGACAGTATTATTATAGAACGTTTGTGCTCATATCCATTTTTTTTTGGGAGAGAAAACAAAGGAACGCACTTCTATAATTATTCTCTTCCAAATTATGGATCACAGTGGTTAATTAAGTCATTAAGTGGACTAACAACAGCCAACAGAACTAGTCGAAGTAGTGATGTAGCAGTATTTTGAAGTCATGTTTGTGCCTGAGTTTCCTTTTGTAAGGCATGGGTCATTGGTTTGGAATCTTGCTACTGACATTGACATCAACTAGCAAGAGATGCATCTCTCTATTGGTTGATTCATCTTTCTTTTGGGCCTTGTGTAGTTGACGAAATTTCCTGAGAAAGGGTACCGTAGCATTTTCGTTGTTATTTGGTAATTAGTGTCCAATTATAGTCTAATTAGGCTTAAAAGATTCGTCTCGTGAATTTCGTCTAAACTGTAATTAGTTTTATTTTTTATTTATATTTAATGTTTCATGCATGCGTTCAAAGATTCGATGTGACGAAAAATCTTTAAAATTTTGTAAAATTTTGAGAACTAAACAGGCGCTTGGTTGATTGAAGACATAAGCGAAATTATTGATGGTAGTGCCGTAGTGGATTTAGGAAATTCATTTTTAGATTTGTAGCTGAGAGTGTCATCAGATGCCATGTGTTCAGACCGTTCTGCAGGGCAGCACTTGGCAGCGGTGGTACTAAAGGATCGCACGAGCCATAGAAATGTACAAGAACATCCAACCATAGATCAGCCAACGTGAACTTATTAGCCGGCTTATCAGCTACTACAGTATTTTTTTCTTATAATAAATCAGTTTTAGCCGGCTTATCAGCCAGCTTTAATATCCCGTAACGTATCGTGTAGGGCCACGACCTATGAGAGGGTTGACTGCCCAGTGTGTGGCGGGTCTCGATCACCACCTAGTGTTAACTCTCTTAAATTTAATCAAATTTAGATTAGATTAGATAAAAATATACTGGTATTTATTATCGATAACTCGTCATGAAATTGATAAAGCTTGATCTTATGTTCTTTAAACTTAGCTAAAGTTTTGTTTGTTTGACTTAGATCGAACTAGAATTACGTCTTTTTGAGACGGATGTATTATTTCTTGAAAAAAGATAACTCGATGTTAAGAGAGGGAGATAGTCGAGGGCTCGAGGTTATAGATTGCTCACCATCCTCGCAAAAGAGTAATAATATTTGCCCGTCACTTCATCAGTCACCACCCACCAGCCAGCCACCCCAGGGCATAAGTGCAAGCCAGGACATAGTCAAGTGCATTGCATTTGGTTGGCGCTTTTGCTCTGGCCGTCGATCACATGCGCGACTAATGACGCCGCGCATCTACACGGTGGCATCAATACATGAGTCTTCTCACGCTGATGTACGACGTTGTACTATTCGTCAATTTTTAACGAAGTCTGCTGTCCTGACAGCGAACACGTAGGGGTGCAGTGACTAGTAGGTCGTTGAATTTTTCTTCGAATCAGCATCATCACCAACTCGTCAACCCATGACGGTTTGTGGCAAACAAGGGATGAATGGCATCTGTGTGAACATTTCGCCCATAGATGCAGACACTGCAGGATTTTTGGTTTTTTTTTTTGCAACATATGCAATTGTATATTTCGTGCGCAGGTGAACCACAACAACCTGGTGAAGCTGGAGGGGTTCTGCATCAACTCGGCGACGGGCGACTGCTACCTGGTGTACGAATACGTGGAGAACGGCTCGCTTGACCTGTGGCTACTGGACCGCGACCGCGCGCGGCGCCTGAACTGGCGCGCGCGCCTCCACATCGCGCTCGACCTCGCCCACGGCCTGCAGTACATCCACGAGCACACCTGGCCGCGCGTGGTGCACAAGGACATCAAGAGCAGCAACGTCCTCCTGGACGACCGCATGAGCGCCAAGATCGCCAACTTCGGCCTGGCCAAGACGGGCCACAACGCCGTCACCACGCACATCGTGGGCACCCAGGGGTACATCGCGCCCGAGTACCTCGCCGACGGCCTCGTCACCACCAAGATGGACGTGTTCGCCTATGGGGTCGTCCTGCTGGAGCTGGTGTCCGGGCGCGAGGCCGCGGACGAGAGCGGCGACCCGCTGTGGGCGGACGCCGAGGACAGGGTGTTCCGGGGCCGCGACGAGAGGCTGGAGGCCCGCGTCGCGGCGTGGATGGACCCGGCGCTCGCGGAGCAGACGTGCCCGCCGGGGAGCGTGGCGAGCGTGGTGAGCGTGGCGAGGGCGTGCCTGCACAAGGACCCGTCCAAGCGCCCCAGCATGGTGGACGTAGCCTACACGCTGTCCAAGGCGGACGAGCACTTCGCCGACTACTCCGGTGAGAGCGTGTCGGTTGACGGCAGCGGCGAAATCGCTGCTCGGTGAAACATCCTTCCTTTGGCTAGTACTCCTACTCAGTAGTAATAGGGGGTTTGAGCCATCAGTTCGCGTTGTAAATGTTAAAGTTCTAGCGTCTAGCGAGCGGAGGATGAGTCAGCAGTGAGTATATTGAATAATAACGCCGGCATTCTGCGAGCCTGCGAGGTGCGTGAAATCTTTCGACTTGAGGTGTATATATACTCTTTAGTATTACGCAGATGAGGATCAATTCGTGAGTAGCAAATGGGTTACCGACGAAAGCAACTGATGCCTTTGGTGTCGTATGTTAGGCGACGGATGATGTTTCGGAAACGAACGTCGTTCGTTGGACGTCTAGCCCATTTTCCCGGACTCCTGAATTGGGCCTATATATCTGCCGTCCGAAAGCAGCTACCAGCAATGCAACCCACTAAGAACTATGAATTGGGCCTATACATCTTCCGTCCGAAAGTAATGCGGCGCAATATAAAGGGCCATGGCCCACGGACATCAGGAATGTTTTCGTTTCATTTTTCCTTTTTTTTTCTTCTCTTATTATAGTTATGGTATTACTGTTTTTCTTTTCTTTCTCGAACACGAATGAGAGCTGTGTATCGTTCTATTAAGATATGTTGGAGCTAAGAACATATTGTGACACTATTTTATTGTATTCAATATTTTGAATTGTAAAACTAAACATTTCAAATATATAGCGTTTCACATTCTCACGTCAAATCTTGAACTAATTTTCTTTTCCAATGTTGATTTGACATTTTGAAAGGATTGATGCAACATTTTTTCGTACCAAATTCAACATTTTAAATACCCCCAATGCTGTTCACAGGTCTAGAAAAATGGACCAGTGGTGCACCTTTTTATAAGTTTAGTTACGTGTGGGATACCACTTTACAAGTTTAGCGATCCAGAAATATAATTTTGAAGTTCATGAACCTCAATGTCACCCCTAACAAGTTCAAAGGCTGCCTGTGCATTTAACTTTTTATTTAGTTATATTAAAGGAGCATTACACATACGGAGTAGGCAACTTCTATGAAGACGAATGAAGTACAAAGCCAAGACCCAAATTGACAGGTACACCCACAACATCTGTCACGTACACAGAGCCAAAGGACCACGCCGTAATCCGTTCTGTCGTTGTGACGAGCGCACGAGCCTGTGTGTGGTACCGACGCTTGACAGTGCTAGTGGAGCAGAGAACTGGTGCAACAGCAAGGTTGGTCAGCTCAGGTCTCACTTCTCAGCTGTTGCTGTAATCAAACCTTTATATGTGGGGCTCAGTTAGTCCGCTCGCGATGACAACTTTCTTGTCTTCGCGTTGCTCGGCGCATAACTGGTGGGAGCCCATGCATGCGCCGCCGATCAAGGGATCAGCAGAAAAGAAACGATTGTCGCCTAACATACGGTTCTCTTGATCTTACGTACCTGTTCATGCAAATTCGCTCAATATGAGAAACGAGACGTGCACACACATGACACAACACAAGCAACCAGCCTACCACAGAGCAAGTCAACGTGTTCCTTGCTGAGACATCATGCATGCTCCAGCGCTGCATGACTGCATCGCTGACGCGGAATTGTAGATTCGACACGATCGATTTAATTTGAAATCCCCATATCCACCGCATTCACTAATGCAAAGGCTTTATAATAACGAATGGATCTAGGCAGTGTCCTTTCTTAACGCCGCGTTTAGTTTCAAACCCAAAATCCAAAAAAGTGCTACAGTAGTCATCATATCGAATCTTGCGATACGTGTATGGAGCATTAAATGTAGACGAAAAAAAACTAATTGCACAGTTTGGTTGGAAATCACGAGACAAACGTTTTGAGCCTAATTAATCCATGATTAAACACTAATTGTCAAATAAAAACAAAAGTGCTACAGTAACCTAAATTCCAAAATTCAGCCAACTAAACACGGGGCTAATTCGAGGAGAAACGAAAGGAGCATAGTTGTTCCTTGTTTCCGTCGGTTAGGTCAGTGAAGTAGGCAGCCTGCGGCCTTTAGACGAACCGCTAGGTCCAAAAGAACACATTAAAAACGTTTTCCTTAAGAAATACCCGGCACGTCGCAGATGCGTTTTGCTGCCTCGCTCGCTCACGCTACATTCGCTGACGGACGATATCCTTGCCCTTAAACATTAGCTCACGGAGGGAAAACGTGTCAGGTAGCGCGCTGTTCCGCGTTTTCCACGTTCCCACCATGTTTTCTAGCCTCACCGCAAGACCGGGAGCATTCTGATGAATCTGATCCGTGCTCACAGTCACGAGTACGCAACCCCGAGGGCCGTAAGTCATAAGCAAAGATGCTGTCCGAGCTGTGTGTCCAGGGCTCCACAGGTTCGTCGGCAACAAGATGCTAGATAGCCTCGTCAGTCAAGTCACCATACACGCTTCCAGAAAAGCACCACGGCAGCGCCATCTCCCGGTCAGATATTCCACCATTATCGTGGATCTTCAAGTCCGGTCTATCACACCGGATCACCCTAGGTGCAAATGGAAAAGAATACGAAACAGGGGCACTAAGGGCGCGTTTGGTTTATATCCAGAGCACACCGCAACTCGCCACAGGCCGGACGGCACGCCCAACGTTAGCCGATGTTTGCTTCTTGACCAGACTTACGGCGAACCGTACTTTGCCTCCGTGAAGCTAGATCATTTTGACGTCTTCACTCGCCAAATCTCCAGAGCCAGTTTTTCTCGCCAGATTTTTGGCGTGGCCCCAGTTGAGTTACGGCAAGGTGTGGTCACAGGCCAAAATATGGGAAAACCTCTTGACAACTGACATGTAGAGCTCTGCTATTGTTCATGTCGTCCCCTAAGCTTCTACGATGTTGGACGATGATCTGTGTGTGACGGACAAAAGTAAATGCAATGATCGAATTTACGACTATGCATGGTCGAAGTTTTAATGGTTATGGGAATTTTGAATTGTTTACCGAGGGCGGCAGAGCTCCGTCGAGATATTGAATAATATTCATCGAATCATCGTCTTGCGAGCTGAATTGTGTATGTTTGTTGTTTGTCACCTGATCTGAAATTTTTTGCTTAAGATAGACGTCCATCCTAGACGTTCATTTTTGAGCCTCTAGTCGGAAAAAAAAAGTTAGCAGCCTGTTCGCTCGGTCGTATTTGGCTTATAAGCCATGGCTTATCAGCCGACAAACAGTATTTTTCTCTCACACCAAACCAGTCAACAGTACTTTTAGTCATTGATTATAAGCCAAACCAGCCCAAACCAAGGGGCGTAGATCGACGATTGATCCCCTGTGATTAACGACTGTCTAGGGGAAGCGGCTGGCCACGACGAGAACCAAACAGCCCCTCTGTTGCGCGTGGAGAATTTTTATTTTTTTAATCTTTTTTTAATCAACATTTTAATAATAACCGCTCTAAAACATATTTTCAGATTTGACCCTTTTGGTCACGCCAACACATGTGGCGCGGCAACATTTGTCATGTTGGATGACGTTTTCGACGTGAAAAAACTACAAAATTGTAGATCTCATTGAGAACTATAACTTTCATGTAAAAAGTATCTTCATTTGACAACATACAGAAACGATATTATTTTTCTAATACGACAAGTATTAATACGCAGTTATTATGTTCCTAAAATTTTATATTATTTTTTAAGCATCTTAATTACTCTAAATGTTTAAACTCAAAACTACAAAGTTGTAGATCTCATTGAGTGCTATAACTTTCATGTAAAAAGTATCTTCATTTGATAACATACAGAAACGATATTATTTTTCTAATACGACAAGTACTAGTACGCGGTTATTATGCTCCTAAAATTTTATATTATTTTTTTATTATCTTAACGTCCTCAAATGAAAAAACTCAAAACTATAAAGTTGTAGATCTAATCGAGAGCTACAATTTTCATATAAATTTCATCTTCATCCAACGTCGTATTAAAGAGTTATGATTTTTCAAAGATTTGATCTTGTCACGCCACTCCCGGTGACGCGACAGAACGAGCGTGACAGCGTTTTCCACGTCGAAAACGCCGTCTAACGTGGCGAATATTGCCGCGCCATTGCATGTGGCGTGGCAACGTTATCTAGTCGCATCAGCGACGCAGGCGCGACCAAAGTTGTTAGATCCGAAAAAAAATTTATTAGCGATTATTATTAAAATATTGAATAATAAAGTATTAAAAATTAAAAAAAAAATCCGTCGCGCGACCGTTGAGAGCTTGATGCGGCTGACCGCGATAGGAGAGAGAGAGAGAGAGAGAGAGAGAGAGAGAGAGAGAGAGAGAGAGAGAGAGATGAGATCCGGCGAGCTAGTCAGTGGTCACAACGTCTGAGCACGCCGGGGTACGACGTTAGTTGAAAGGGAAATTCAAATAGTCCGACGAGATATGAGGGGACTTGTCACCGAAAGCGCCCATACCATGGGCCTGCGTGTCAGGAAACCACAGGTCAAGGGAAACGGTCGCAGTGAGGGGCTGGGCCCATTGCAACACATATTGGCCACCGGTTTATTAGCACCTGAACTGCTAGTACAGTACAGCAACTCAGCGTTGAGAGCAAAGGATGTAAGACTGTCTCCAATAATGAATACCTAAACACAACATCTATTCTTTGATATAGGTCATGTACAGGAAAAAGAGTCGGCACGTGAAATTGAGCTTCTCCAACCGCCAACGCAAATCAGCCCTCTTTTTCCTCGGTCTCTCCTCCGCCCACCCATCTCCATCCCCTCCTCTCTTTATACGTCACCGCATCGGCCACCTCGCCGCTGCGCCGATGGTCGAGGGCAAGGCCACCTAAATGTCCTGTCATGCCGGATGGCGGGAACCTCCGCGACGACGCCTCCGTCTTTGCTACACCGCCGTCGCCTCCGGCTTCCTCTCCTGCACCCAGACGTGCACGCCGCCCGCTGAGGCCAATAGCTACTGAGCACCGCCACCCCTGCCTCCACTTGGCGCACGCCTCCTGCCGAGGTCAGTCATGCCTGCTCTGCTCCCTCCATCCCTCCCCTTCTTCTTCTGT